GGTCAAATTGAAAATTTTAAAATATATAAAATTCGAATTTGGCCCTAATGACCGGAAGTTAACCTAGAAACGGGCTAATGGCTCATTAGTGAAAGGATTGTGTAAGTTCAGGGATTTTTGTGAAAGGATTTGAAGTTCAGGTACTACTTCGAAATTCCAGCTAAAGTTCAGGTACCATTTGTGAAATTTACCCGTCAAAACGACACTATTTTGTATTATAAGAAATTAAACCTAATACGGAGTACTCCATTATTTGATATCATCTTGAGACAAGCTTGACGGCTTGAGGCAAAGCAGCAAGGGACTGAGGGTGTCCCTCGATCCACGTCGCCGGTCCTTGGGCATACTTCGCCGGAGCTCCACCGGGGGGCACTGTTAGAGGGATGGAAGTTTGTTACGTTTGTTGAAGTTTGTTAAGTCTGTTTGGGTTGTTGAAGTTTGTTGAGTTGTTGTAATAGGCCTATAAATACTCCATTCTGTAATCTGTAAATCAAGTTGATAATAATGCAAATCCCCTTTCTCTCTCTTCCTTTCATCTCTCTCGTCTGATTTTCTTCTTAGGCGAATTGATTCGCCATTAACAGTCATCCTCGAAGCTCTGTTCTTATTTTGTAGGAGCTTCCTGCATTGATTGTTAACAGGCACGTGCCCTGGCATGCCCCCTAGCTCCCTCCGCCCCTGAGTATGTGATATCTATTCTTTTTTGAATAATATTAATTACTACCTCCGTCCTACAGTATTTGTCCACTTTCATTTTTACACACCATCTAATACACTTTTTTAATACATTTTATCTTGTAATTTGTATATTAAAAAATTATAGAAATTATATATTAATAATCTATATGTTAAGACAAATCAAACAACATCACACATGACTATATTTAGGCTTACACATTGAGAGAATTTGATGAGTCAAAGTGCTTAGATGAACAGTTCCAAAAGTCAAAACTAGACGAATACTCCGGGACGGATGGAGTATATTACAAGGTAGTATTTATTTGTATTATTCTCAACTTATGACGCACAGAGAGCCAATTCTTCCGCTTCTACTGGGGCTCGAACTTAAGAGGCAGGGTGAACTTCCCTATTAATCATGTAGGGTGGGCTTGCTACCACTCAAGCCAGGGGAGAAGTTCTTTGTCTATCTATTTTCAATCTATTGAAGTCCGCCGAGTTATTGCCCTCACCGGGGTTCGAACATCTCTCATTTGGAAGAGTCATAGTAGTGTCATTGAACTAAGATATAAATTGATATATTCCCTAATATATATTCCCAATTTTAGATTAAAAATTTATTAAAATAATTTTTTGCCTTAGAATTCTTTTACACAAATTATCCCTGCAGCACCATATTCTAAGCCATTTGCATTAAAACATAAGATGTCTGATTAGAAAGATGAAATGGAAGATGATTTTTTGAATGCTTGTATAATTAGTGATGTGGAAAAGGAATTATTTTGATAAGGACGAACACCACCTCCGAGGGCCAAGGGCTCCCTTAGACCCGACTAGCTGATCATTGAGAGAATGTAAATTAGATTTTGATCACGGATTGATGGCAGAGAGTGCAGCCTGCACGTGGTACTTGCAGAGATTTTATG